GCCCTAGTGTGGAGCAGTGTACCCACCCAACCCAGTGAAAAAAAAAGCACATTTATTTCTCCCTAACCCCCACAAGGGGACCTGGCAACAGCCGGGAGAAAGCACCATCTTAGTGCCAGTAGAGGCTGCAGCAGCTCTCATCCGTGTGCAATTAGGGAATTTTATCAGAGAGAGAAGCAGAGAGATAAATTCCCCACTGACTTTGAGTCTGGTCTGGAGAGTTGACAGGGAGCTTGGCACCCCCTTAGGAGTGAGAGGGGCTACCATCCCCCAGCCCCATCACAGGCTTGAGGACTCAAAGGCCAAGGCCAGGTACCCACAGGCATCTGGCTCCGGGAATGCCCCTGCTCTCCCTGTGGACAGGGCAGGCTTGTGGAACTGCGTGGATCCTCTGTGCACTGTGACTGTGGGAGCCATGCACAACATGACTGGGAATTCTTTGACTTCATGATAGGGCATGGGGTGAGCACTGGGCAATCACTGTATTTGACTATAGAGGCTCAAAGAACCCTGATTGCCTGGACTGGGTCATTGTGCAGGGTTTTGTGCTCACACAGAGGACCGGACAAATCCTTTGTGTGCTTCCTGGGCCTGTGTGGGTGGATGTTGTAGCTACTGTGAGCTAATAATCCCTGGTATTGATCAACTTGGAAGAGTGCAGGAGACACTGATATTATGCCAACAGTTGTGATCGTACCCTCCCCTTGCCACACCCAACTTGGGTGTCACTCTGGATTCTCACTCCACCCTTGAGCACTGAGCAGAGTTCCCAGGCTCCACCCAGCACATGACTCTGGATATCTACTGGGGAAGCAGACACTCCACTAAGCCACAGAGGCATCCTTCACAGATAAAAGCCAGCAGAGGAGAAAACCAATAAGCGTTTCCAGAAATTCCTAAAAATAGATGCAGAACTACAAGAAAAAAGAACAAAAAAGACACTATGACTGCCAAAAAGAACACAAAAACACTTAAATATAAGAATATGAAGACAACAAGATAGATGAAATGCCTGAAAATTAATTCAAAAGGTTGATCATAAAATTACCCGGAAACACAAGGAAACAAATTCAAGAGATAAAGAAATCCATACATGGGGCCCATGGTGTGGTGTAGCAGGTAAAGCTGCTGCCTGCAGTGCCAGCATCCCATATGGGCACCGGTTTGAGTCCTGGCTGTTCTACCTCCAGTCCAGCTCCCTGCTGTGGCCTGGGAAAGCAGTAGAAGATGGCCCAAGTGCTTGGGCCCCTGCACCCACATGGGAGACCTGGAAGAAGCTCCTGGCTCCTGGCTTTTGATCAGCGCAGCTCTGGCCATTGTGGCCATCTGGGGAGTGAACCAGTGGATGAAAGACCTCTCTCTCTCTCTGCCTCTCCTTCTCCCTCTGTAGCTCTTTTAAGTAAATAAAAATCTTTAGAAAAAGAAATCCATACATAATATTAATGAAAAATTTTGCAGAGATATTAATAGAAATCAAACTGAAATATTAGAAATTAAGAATTCAATATGTCAAATAGAAAATACAGTGGAGAGCATCAACAACAGACTTGGTGAGGCAGAAGAAATATCTGAGCTAGAAGGCAAATCCTTGGAAATAGTCAGAAAAAAAAAGAAGAAAGAAAAATTTAGGAAAACTGAAAATAGTGTTCAAGATTTATGGGATGATATCAAATAACCAAACGTACATGTCTAAGGAATTCTTGAAGGCATGGAAAGAGAGAATGAATTAGAAGGCCTATTCAGTGAAATAATAGCAGAAAAATTCCCTAATTTGGAGAAAGAAAGGGACCATTCAAGTACAGGAAGCACATAGAACGCCTAATAGATGTGATTAGAAAAGATCTTTTTTTTTTTTTAAAGAATTATTTATTTATTTGAAAGTCAGAGTTACACAGAGAGAGGAGTGGGAGAGAGAGAGAGAGAGAGAGAGAGAGAGAGGTCTTCTGGCTACTGGTTCACTCCCCAGATGGCTGCAACAGCCAGAGCTGAGCTGATCTGAAGTCAGGAGCTAAAAGCTTCTTCTGGGTCTCCCACGTGTGTGCAGGGGCCCAAGGACTTGGGTCATTTTCTACTGCTTTCCCAGGCCCTAGCAGAGAGCTGGATTGGAAGAGGAGCAACCAGGACTAGAACCAGCGCCCATATGGGATGCCGACACTTCAGGCCAGGGCATTAACCCACTGTACCACAGCACCAGCCCCTAGAAAAGATCTTCACCACAACATATTATAGTCAAACTTTCAACCTTAAAACATAAAAGATTCTAAAATGTGCTCACGAGAAACACGAGGTTACCTTCAGAGGATTTCCCAAGTAGATAGATGAACAGCTGATTTCTCATCAGAAACCCAACAGACTAATAGAGAATGGAGAGATACAGTCCAAGTCCTAAAATAAAGAAACTGTCAACCCAGAATACTACCCAGAAAAGCTCTCATGTATAAATGAAGGTGAAATAAACATCTTCAAAAACAAGCACAAACTGAATTTTTACCACTTATTTTGCTTTATAGATGAGTCATAAGAATAATGATGACTAAGAGACTACTGGAACTCGAAAAAGAGTTTGGTAAAGTGGCAGGATATAAAATTAACACACAAAAATCAATAGCCTTTGTAAACATAGACAATGCCATGGCTGAGAAAGAACTTCTAGGATCAAATCCGATTCACAATAGCTACAAAAAAATTAAACACCTTGGAATAAATTTAGCCAGAGAGGTCAAAGATCTCCAGGATGAAAATTACCAAGCGTTAAAGAAAGAAATAGAAGAAGACACAAAAAATGGAAAAGTTTTCCATGTTTGTGAATTGGAAGAATTAATGTTATCAAATTTTCCATACTACCAAAAGCAATTTACAGGTCCAATGCAATCCCAATCGAAATACCAATGACATGCTTCTCAGATCTAGAAATAATGATGCTAAAATTCATATGGAACACAAGAGACCCTGAATAGCTAAAGTAATCTCATACAACAACAAAACAAAGCTGGAGGCACCATAATACCTGATTTCAAGACATACTACAGGGAAGTTATAATCAAACAACCTGATACTGGCAATAAATAGATGGGCAGATCAATGGATCAGAATATAAACCGGAGAAATCAATCCATGCATCTACAACCAACTTATCTTTGACAAAGGAGCTAAAAATCAATCCCTGGAGCAAGGACAATCTCTTCAACAAATGGTGTTGGGAAAATTGGATCTCCCCATGAAGAAATATGAAACAAAGCCCCTCCCTACCTTACACCTTACACAAAAATCCACTCAAAATGAATCAAGGACCTAAATCTATGGCTTGATACCATAAAATTACTAGAGAACATTTGAGAAACTTTGCAAGACATTGGCATAGGCAAAGACTTGGAAAACACCCAGAGGCACAGGAAATCAAAACAAAAATAGACAAATAAGATTACATCAAGCTGAGAAGCTTCTGCACTGCAAAGGAAACACTCAGCAAATTGAAGAGGCAATCAATAGAATGGGAGAAAATATTTACAAACTATGCAACTGATAAAGGATTAATATCCAGAATCTACAAAGAGCTTAAGAAACTCAATGACAACAAAACAAACAACCCAGTTAAGAAACGGGCAAAGGACTTGAACAAGCATTTTTCAAAAGAAAAAATTTAAGTGGGCAACAGACATGTGAGAAAAATGCTCAGGATCACTAGCCATCAGGGAAATGCAAATTAAAACCACAATGAGGTCTCACCTTACCCCAGTTAGGCAAATATCACCTTAGAAATGTTTGGACATGTTGAGAACTTATGTCTCTTTAGGGCACCATAATACCCCTTTATTAAAGAATATGGGCACAAAATCAAGTACTTGGTTCTCTGGTCTTTCCTCTTGGATACCTAATGCATTGAGGTCCTTCTTGTCAGTTATGCTCCATTCCAATCCTCTTGGAGGTAATGGTGACTTACACCTGTACTGATTAGTAATCTGCTGTGTTCCCATTCTATGTAAATACATGCAAAGCATTAGAAACTCAACTAGAGTCATAGCAAAGACAAGTTGAAACGTTTCATTTCCAGAGCCTCCTGCATTGCTCCTAAGTCAACTGGAAGTAGTCAGAGTGGAGTTGAAGCTCCTGTGACACAGATATGGAATGAAGGATTGACAGCAAAGAACTATCTTTCCTTTTCATATTCTGATGAATAAAAAGCAGACTACTAAGCTTGCAACAGCCTAAAATGTCTGTTCAAACAGATCTATGATGCTTGCTTATGAATTCCAGAAACTGGCTCTGAGAAAGCCAGCTGAAGTTGTAGAGTTATCTGGTCCTCCCTGGCCAGCCTGACTGTAGGTTTGAATTTAATGGAATGTAAAAAGTGAAAAAGTGTCTAAGAGCATAGTGAGCATGGGTTATATGCTGGGTGGGCTTCATTCCAATTAATGAAATACTGGAATCTCTTAACACAATAGTTTGCCTATTTCAGATCCCAGCCAAATAATGTCTTGTAGCTACTTATTTTTGCAGAATATGCTGTTATTCCCTCCTCTTAGTAAAATCAAGCCATCAAGCAAGTTTCCCAGGGAACTATGCAGACGACTGAGATACTGTTAGGTCTGCAACCCACTTCAGCACCTCACTCAGCATCCCACCCCCTTTACAACCTCCCTAAAAGCTCAGACCATTCTCCCTAGCCATGACAGTAGTTCTTAATATTATCAGCTGTTGTCCTCATCTATCAATAGATTAAACTTTATCTTTCCTTTACCCTCAAGCCTTGTCCTTGTTATTTTGATTCAGCACCGAGGACAGGGACCAAGCTTGCAGTAAATGACAAACTGAGGTCTGGATCTCACAGTTCCTCTCACCACACTAAGGATCCATACTCTAGCTCACATGAACACATTCCTGGCTTCTAGGGTGGCACATACATTTCTACACTTTGAAGGGTGAGGAATGTATTTAGGGCAGAGTAAGAAGAAATGGAATCAAGACATCATGAGGAATTGCTTAATTTTTCAATTTGAAAAAGTGAACTGGTTTATCAAAATCTATAGACAGCAAGTCCATTAGTATTCATGCAGCTTTCTAACTCCAAAAGTATAAATGCTACTACCATAAACTTATCTATTGGAGGGTTAGTTATTTTCATTGGTCAGTTCAAGTCAAGATTTTAAGGATAAAGGAAGCAGATAATATCTGGACTCTGGTGGAAAGAATAGAAAATCTACAAAGGTTTATCTCTGACAGATTGAGCAGGTGGAATCTAGAAAGAAGAATCTAGAGGGCCTATGAAAGTGGAGGTATCTACTAGGCTGGATAGTGGGGGAGGGGCTGTGGCCAACCTCTTCCTTTCCTTGTCCCCACCCCTGCCTCCATAGCCCTTTGTGATGAGGAGGCCACAGTTCTGTGATGCGGGCCTGGGCCCACTTCCTTCTGCCAAAGGGAATGCCCAGGGTTCAGTTGCCTGAGCGAAAGACTTGGAGGATGGAATATCAACTTGCTCCTCGGAAAAGCATTTGTGCAATGTGGCAGAGCCCCAGCTGCACCTCCTGGGGAGCAGACATCATCCTGGTCTTCCTGTGTGGCCTGGGCCTCTTCCTCCTGTCATTCGTCCACAGCACTCCACCCTCACCACCTCCTAAGAGAAAGGGGACCATCAGGAAGGTAAGGAGCCCTTGGCCAGAACCCAACAGACAAGGGTTTTCTCTGTTTTCTTCTCTTATTTCTCTGTTTCCAAACCAACCAGACAGACTCCTGAGATGGGAAAAATCTCAGGACAGAACATCATCCTTCATGGCAGGAGTGAGGTGGAACTAGGATTTCTGTGTGAAGCTCTCAGGCCATTCCTGTGGGTGTGGGAGAGCACCAGGGCAAAATCGGACCCTGACTCAGCAGCCGGTGTCCCCATGACTCAGAGAATTGAGATCCCTTGCGGCAGAGGGGAAGTCATGGGCTCTGAACCCAGGTTCATAAGTCGTCTTCTTGGAATGGGTGTCCCAGGGCCAGGCTTTTCATGATGTTTGGGCTGACCTGAGAGCTCTGCTGAGAAGTGAGAAGCTCCATTCAGGGCCTAGAGTCACCCCTGGCCCCAGGCCTCAGGCTCCTCCGTGGCAGCTCACATGCACGGTAGAACTGAGTCTGTCTCCTCAGCATAGGAACAGTGAATACAGGAATTCATGGCAGATCTCACAGAGAACATGCATCCCTCTGTGTACTTTTCAAAGATGAAAAACAAAATCTTTGTTCTACTTTAAAAATGAATAATTGGTGGGTATTTGGTTTAGTGCCTGCACCCTATGTAAGAATGGCTGGGTTTAAGACTGGCTCTAGTGCTGATTACAGCTTCCTTTTAATAAACACCTATGTGGGAAGCAGGGTTGACTTAAGTGGTTGGGTCCTTACCCCAGGGAATAGACTTGGATTTAGCTCCCATTCCTAGCTTTGGCCGGGTTTGGATAATTCTAGGCATTTGAGAAGGTGAACCAGCAGATGGGAACTCTGCCTGTCTCTTTCTCTGTCCTCTGCCACTCCAACAAATATCTTTTTGGAATGAGTAGAAACAACGAAAAGAATACAGGACATCCTTAGTGTTATTCATGAGCACTGATTTCCTGCAGCATTTCTGGGGAGAGGAGACAGGATTGGATCCTAGATCCTCTTTCTTCCTTGTCTCTCAGGGTCAAGTGCAGACATGGAGGAAGACCAGAAACAAGAAAAAGAGTGCAACTCTGAAAGGTAAGGCTCTGCCCTTCCACCAGGAGGCACCACAGGGGACTTGATCTCGCTAGTCCATGGGGGACCAGAGCCACCTTGTGAGTATGTCAGCGACAGATGCCTGACAGAGAGGCTCCTGGGAAGGAAATCAGCACCAGGAATCCTCGGGATCCTGCTGGTAAGGAAGCCATGGCAAGCAGGAAATGAGTGTTGCCCAGTAGGGGGCACTGTGGGCTGCAGTGGACCAACACTGCCTGCATCTGGAGTGGAGCTGTGGACAGGTGCTTCACGTTCAAGGGCTGACTCCTCTTTGAGATGAGCCCCTCCTTTCTCCCCCGCAGTGCAGTGGTGAGGACCCCAGAGGGTGATGGATGTGGAGTCACTTTGTGAATACTAGTGCACAGTCCCATGTGCACTGCTGGCACTGCCTGCGGTCCTGGGGCTTGGACACTGATGCTTGGGTTCTGGAGTCTAATCTCCCAGGGCTCATCTGAAAGGGACATTCTATTCCACCTCCTGGAAGAATCCCAGACCCCTCCCTTCTGCACTCTAACCCAGTCTCCTGGTTTCCAGCCTGCAGAGACTGCCTGGAAGAACTGAAGGAGGCTCGAGGGCTCATTTCCCTTCTGCAAAGGTGAGGAGGTTTCTGCTGTGGTCCATGTCCTTATCCTGCCAGACCCTAGGATATGACCCCCATCCTGGGATTGCACTGGGAAGGGGAGGCCACAGGATGGGGACCATATGTGACTAAAGCCCTGGGATAAGGAAAAGAAAGCTCTGTGAAGTCAGGGCCTGGGACAGAGAAGGGCCGTGCACACAGGTGCCCAAACTCCCCAGGATCCATAGCTCATTGGCTATGCCAGTCCCATCTGCTCCCGGCTGCATCATGTGCCTCCTGTCTCCTGCAGCCACCTGGGAAAGCTCCCTGACAACAGCGCTTCTCACCTTCTGTGTCGGGACCTCCAGGGAGATGAACGCAATCCAGCCCCTGCTGGGGGCCACCAGCCTCATGGGGAGCCCGAGGAAGATGCTTCTCCTGTCACCTCGTCCCCACTGCCTTCCCCGGCTCTGCTGACCCAGCACCCTCCTCCCCCGGCCTCCCGCCCGTCAGAAGGACCTCAACAAGTGCAGTCCGACGTGAAGAGCAACCCGGCAGGCCCGGCCCCAGACAGCGCCCCTCCAGGTAACTCCTGCTTGGCCTCTCTCGGCACGGCCACCTCGGGCTTGGACCGCGTAAGCGGCTCCATTGCATTCTTCTCCTGGTGGTGGCCGACCGCCAAGGCCTTGCTCCTGTTCACCTCACCACATGGCAGAGGCCGGCAAGAGCCTCTTTCCCAGCACCCACCAGAGGCCTCGCCCTGGGGAGACGCCGCACGCGGGCAGGCAGAGGCTGGCGGCCCTCCTTTCATCAGCCCTGATGGCCAGAGGCTGCTAGAAATCCTCATCTCCAGGAGAGCAGGCCTGATGCTGAAGGCAGAAGAGAAGACGGGGTCCCTGCTGGGCCAGATGCGCCCAGGCTGCCTCCTGAGTTCTCTGGGGGCTCTCTTGAGGTCCCTGAGCAGCAAGCAGGCCAGCAGCGCCCCACAGCTCTTCTGGAGACCACGGCACCAATGCACACAGCTGCAGGGGCCTCCGCGGCTCTCTGCCCCCCAGGTCTTTGGGGACCACTTAGAGAAGAAATGTAGCCAGCTCTTCTGGGGCCTCCCCTCTCTGCACAGCGAGTCACTAGTGGCTACGGCCTGGGTTTCTAAGGGGCCCACCCTTTCAAGAGCTCCCACGGTTAGGTTCAATGTTGATGTTAGTTCTTCTCCAGTTCAAACTCAGTCCTCAGACCCTCCACAGCTTTCCCAGGCTCAGCCCTTGCCCCCTAACCCTTTGGCCCAACCCCAATCTTTGACCGAAAACTTCCCCTTTCGTCTAGTTCAGGTCCATACCCAGCCCCAGCTCCCTTGCTCTTTCCCAAGCCTACCAAGCCCCTCCCTACACAAGGGTGGGACCTGTAGATCGTCCTGCCCCACCTCCCAGGATAAGGCTCGCTCTATCATCCCAACTGACAATCAAGAAATGGATTGGCCTTTGCAGATGCCACTACAACGGAAGTGGGCTGCTCGCTCTTTTCTCCAAAACCCTCAAGAAGGTGCTGGCCAACCCACACCCAGCCTCCCCCAGGGCAGCTGGGCCTCCCAAACCTGCCAGTGCGAGGCAAATAACAGGTGTGACTCATGTCAGTCCTCCCAGCCCTCTGAAACTGCAGATAAAAGAAACAAGGCTGTGCAGGAAATGGGGTCTGTGTTCCCTCGAAGACACTCCAGGAAGTATGCAGTGAGATCCCACCTGGATAAACCAAGCAAGGATCTGGAGCAAGATCGGTACAACCAACAGCATGCATCCCACATTCAGACAACCAGCTCTGTGAAGAAGGTTCTGGAAGATAACAGGAGGTCAGACAGTGATTTGAACAGACCCAGGAAGTGGTACTACGAAGACTGCAAACTTAGGAGCCCAGACAAGAAGCATCTTAGAAAAACCCTGAAAGCCCATTTGGACAAGAAGTTGAGGCAAATCAAGGAGGGCAGGATTCCCGTGAGAGTGCGCCGGTCCTGGATTTCTGCAAGCCTTGCCCTTCCCAAGTCTGACGCCCACACAAAATCCAGAAATCTACTGGCCTTGAAGGGGCAGCACTCCGGCGTGAACACGTCCCAGGAACTTGACTTCCTCGACCCCCTCACTCGACACATGTTGGAAGCACACATTAAAAGGCTTTGGGCGCAGCATCGGTGGGGCCTCGAGCACCTCCAGAACCTTGAGCCCCTAAACGTCAACTCAGATGCAGCTCAGGTTTTACTCCACCCACAGTGCACCTCGCCCTCCTCCGTTGCCGGTAAGTCTGAGGCCAGTGTGAGAGCCAACACGGCCAGGTTCCTGGGAGACCCTCAGAAAGGCGCAAGGGAGAAGATGATGGCAAAAAAATCAGTTCCACCCCTGGAGAAGCCCTTCCCTGCACCCTCACCTGCATGTAAGGAAGTCCGGAGGGCTCTGGGAAGGACCCTGTCCTGCAGCACCAGTGGTTTCTCGGAGGTCCCTAGGACAAGGCAGGAGGCCATGCCTCTTACGGAGCCTCCCGCTTCCAGCTGGCTTGGCAGAGTCCAGCAGAGCAAGACCGAGCAAGGAACTGGGAAAGGCAGCTCGGAGGTGAGATCAAGTGCAGCAGTGGCCAGGGATGAGCCCCAGCAGGAGAGCAGGGTCCTGGCCTCACCAGACCCCAGCCAATTGCAGAAGATCAAAAGAAGCTCCCAGCCCGCAAAGGCTAAAGAAACCAGGGAGGCTTCGGAGGACCAGAAGCACTCTGCTTGGGAAGTCACTGTGGGAGCCAGCGTGAAGACGTTCTCCCAGACCATTGACGTGAGTCTCAGTTTCAAGTCTCAGGGGACCGGTAAGTGCCCCCGACCCATGAGGACTGCAGCTGGCCGCACTGCAGGACAGGCAGGCCAAAGATCGCAGGTTGTCAATGAGGTTGAGGTCAAAGTGCAGTTGGATGCAGAGAGGCAGCCTCAAGGCCAGGTCGCTGGCATCAAGCACCGGGACCGCAGCCCCAAGGTGCTCCCCACCGCAGACATCTCAGCCTCTCGGGCCTCTTGGACCACTTCCCAGAGAACATCCAGTAGCAATGACTCAGCATCCCCGGGGCTTCCTGACCATCCATCGAATGCAAGGAGCAGCCAGGTGCAGCAGCAGCCTAGAATCTCAAAAAGCAAGGCCCAGTGCAAGAGTGAGAGCAACATAAGTCCTTCCGACAGGAGAGAAGTGTCTGGGAGGCACGACCCTGTACAGCGGGAAGAGAGAGCAGCAGGACCAAGGGCCTCCTGGGCCCACGGCACGGCCCACCCTGCCTGGGATAGGGAAACAGGAGACACCCTGGGGGACGAGTCCTCACCATTCCTGACAAAGAAGGGACAGGCACCCCCAGAAAGCCACAAGGAACACAGAACAAGGCCATTCGTGCAGTGTCCTAACCCCATCAAAAAGGGCACAGGGCGGAGAGACACCCTTCCAGGAGGCAGGCCTGCATCAGCCACCGCCTGGGACCAGGGATCACGCGTGGGCAGGACGTGCATGGAGAGGAGAGACGCCGAGGCCCAGGCGGTCATAACGGTTGTGGGCAAGATCATGTTGGACCACCTGGGGCTTCCACATGGACGTGGCATCTCAGAGATAGACTGGTACACAGTGGAACGCCAGGCCCCGCTGCGGGAGCGTTCCTGCTACCACAGGGGTCCTTCCTACACACAGCAAAGCAGAGCAGGCACAGACACAGCCTTTGGTCACCAGGCCACCCCTCAGGGCCTCAGCTGTCCTGTCAAGAGCAGGTGGCTCAGAGACAGGGGCAGCAACTGGGTCTCCCCACCCAGGGAGCCTGCGTGCCACTCCAGCCCAGGCCAGCACCGACCGAGGGTGACAGGTGACTGGGGTCGGCCTGTCCACTGCCCCAGGAACTGCCTTCTTCAAAGAGGTGCCTCCTCTCCTCACACACAGCATGCTTCTCAAGGCTATCCCAGTGGGAAAAGCTTTCTCTCAGAAAAACGCCAGTTTCTGCAGAGAAAACCCGCTCAGTCTTATGTCCCCACATCTTTTATGTGACAATGGCTCCTTTCTACAAAGATATGCATTCCTCCCCAATACACGTGTCTTCTCATCACAGGCGTGGCTTCTGTCTGTGCTGTGCCGTGCACGGGCATAGGGGAGTGGTCAGCTGCTGTCCCTGAGTGTGGCTTCGAGAAGGGACAGGGCACGGAGGGAGGCTGACACTGGTGGTGCAGACCCAGCCTCACCCCAGCTTCCCTCACTGCGCCTTGACAACGTGGCAGTGTCACCCATCCCAGCCTCTGCCTCCCCGCTCTCTAGAGGAGCAGCAAACACAGGACCTGCAGCTTCTATGCATGGCTGGGAGCCACAGGACAGCTGCTGGGGCCATGCTGCCCCTGCCCATGGTCTTGCCCATGTGGGAGACAAATTGAGATAATAAAAGCCAGGAAGGAGGCAGAGAGACACGAGGGTGCTGGGAACAAGGGGCCTTTGCCACCCTAGAGCCAGTCTCAGACCTAGAAGGAAGAGACCCGAGGGCCAACTGGCTTCTCCTGTGCCAGAACCCCTGGCCCACCTGCTCTGCCTCCAGACCACAGGCCTGGAGAAGCTCCCTTTAGGTCAACACAGAGGCCCAGACTCAAGAGGAAGCACAGCCTCACATAGGGAAGATGAATTCCTAGCAGCCTATTTCAGAAGCTTGCTCAAAATCGCCTCTTGAATTCCTGAAGGATGAGTTGACGACAGAGGGGAAACCAGGTCTAGGGGGCTCTGATGCGTCCCATGTCCTGGGGGGCCTGACACCTTGACACCAGGACTTCTCTTGGACAGAGGTGGGAACATAGACGTCTGCAGGGCTTTGGATACACTGAGTCTTGGGAGAGGGGGAGCGGGCCGAGACCCATAGTGCTTTCCTGCACGAGTCCTGTCTGGGCCCCATGACTGACAGGCAGCCTCCAGGCTGTGTTCAGCAGCAAGAGCAGAGCTTGGACCTGGGAGGGGCTGGGCTGTGAGGCCCAAACAGCCTGCTCCCTGGAAGCAAGATATATAGACCCTGAAAGGCAGGTTCTGGGATGTGGCAAAACTGGATGAGGATTCCAGGGCTCATTCAGGCAAAGATAGCGACATCGAGGGAACTGCATGAAACAGGTGGCAGCAACACCTGCTTAGCCTTGCCTAACTTAAATATGATCGGAACACTTATCAGCCTGCAGTTGGACAAAACCGTCTAGCACTAAAACTGTTCCATAATCAAGTGCTGACTGCCACATGTAATTTGTTGCATACTGTACTGCAAGGGACAAGCAGGGAGCTTGTATGTATGGATTTGCTTGTGCACCATTGTTAGATCAACGCATTGCAAAGCTGAGTTGTCTGTGTTCTCCCCTGAGTAGGAGGACAAGGAAGACTCTCAGTGGAAGTGGGAGGCTCAGAGGAGCAGCCCTGGGAGAGGGAACCCAGCTGTGGGTGCGAAAACACCTGCGCTGCCTATGGGCTCCTGCAGTGTATGGGGCACTGAACTAAGCTGCATTACAAGAAGAGGATTATCACATTTTACATATAAAGTACCCCAGGACCAAACACAACCTAAATGGCACCAACATTTTGAATTGAAAAATCCTCTGAAGTCCAAACCGTGTCCAGTTCCAACATGATACCAGAAATGTGAAATTCCACACTCACTTGCCCTCGTGTGATAGGTAGCAGTCAAATCACAGGCACACTAAAAATTTTCTACAAAAAGACCTTAGTGACCTTCAGTCCGTGTGTATAAGGTGCATACAAAACATAAACACATGTCCTATTTATTTACCTTCCATCCCTAAATATCTCACTATGTATGTATAAAGTCTCCAGAAACTGAATGCAAAAAGCTTTCGTGCCAAGAATCCAGGTAAGAAATACTTAACCTGTACAGCTGTCAGAGGCCTTGCCTGGGCTCAGTGTCCAGAGTTGTTATTGGGGTCAGCCACATATGCCTGGGGGTTGCGTACGACTGACCTTAACTGCTCAGAATCCAGATTCTTCTCCCTGAGGTCAAACTGACAAACAGAGCCCAGGCCCCCAGCTGATCCAAAACCAGGTGATGTCCCTGAGGCCCATCTTAGGTGACCGATCTGGCATGGTCCTTGGCCTCAGTCAAGCAGGATAGTCCAGGGCTTCAAGGTTTTCTTCCAGGTGCCAGGCAACGGCCCCGCCTTCCTGTGGGGTGGGCAGGTTTGATAACCCTAAGCTCAGCAAGTTAGCCTTTCACTTCACCCTGCAGCCCACTGCGTCACTGCCATCCAAATACATTGGAAAGCAAAGTCTTGTTTATTGGCTCCTGCAGTGTATGGGGCACTGAGCTAAGGGATTTGCACCAAGGGTTTGGCTTGTTTACAGAAAATGAAAACAATGGAAGGATTAGAATCATTATAAACTATGCAATATGTTTAGGCATAGCTATAACTACATACAAATAACCTTTACATGGCTGAAGGCCGTGTAACCTTTTAATTACAAATGTTGCCTCCAGAGAAAGACAACTTGGGTTTTCTCTAGTCTTGCTCTACATTTTCTCCCTTTTTAATTGAATGTGGATAAGGTTTTGTCCACATGAAAAGCAGCTAAAGATTTGCTTAGAAAATTCCCATACTGTGGTATCCCGCTTTCCTAAGCCCCTGCTGTGTCTCTAGGCTGTGCCTGATTGAGGAGTGAACCAGCGGATAGAAGATTCTTTCTCTCTCTGCCCCGCCTCTGCCTCTCTGTAACTCTACCTTTCAAATAAATAAACCTAAAACAGAATAAGACAAAGCAAAAAAAGACCTTTCTCTCTGTCTCTCCCTCTTTCTGTAACTCTGCCTTTCAAATAAGTCTTTTTAAAAAAGCATTTTAAAATATTATGTTAAATGAAATTATATTAACCAAGGTGATACACACACACCACACACACACACACACACACACACACAAAGTTCCTGCCCAAGTTCTCATTCAGGTCCACCTGTGCAAATAAGGCACACAGAAGTATAAAAACTTGATTGGTTAATTTACATGTAAATGAGAGCTGCTCCAGTTCTGTCCCAGTTGCTCCTCTTCCAGTCCAGCTCTCTGCTGTGACCCGGGAGTGCGGTCCTTGGGCCCTGCTTCTGCATGGAAGACCAGGAGGAAGCACCTGGCTGGATCGGTGCAGCGTGTCAGCCGTAGTGGCCACTTCGGGGGTGAACCAACGGAAGGAGGATCTTTCTCTCTGTCTCTCATTGTCTAACTCTGCCTGTCAAAAAAAAAAAAAAGGTGAGGTGATGGAGTCAGAGACCTCTTTTTGTAGCTGTTTTCCATGATTTTTCTTGCAACAACTTTATAAGGCCTTTGCAGGAAGTATAGGGTAAGATAGGAGACAAGAGGGTTTTGTTTTGTTTTGTTTTACCAACTGGACTGTGACCCTGTACTTAAACTTTTTTGGCTCTTTTTTGCTTGTGGTGTCCATCCTAATAGCTGGGTCTTCTGTTATACCTAAAAATTATAAAAATTATAATCAAAATTCACAAAGATAAATAAACAGAAATTTAGCTTCTGAGTCTGACTGGTCCAGCCAAGAACATGTCATGTGGGAAAGCAGCAGACACCTGGGGAATAATTAATGACAAAGTGATAATAATTACAAAACAATTATTATTAAATAAGAATTACAAAAGAATAATAAAATTTCAGAGACAAACCCAAATTTTCAAGAGCTATGAAATGGATGGAATTTGTCACTGGAGAAAGAGCCCTGGGAGCTGTGGGGGTCTTCAGCCAAGAAAGAATTCAGGCGTGAGGCAGAGAGTGGTGTGATAAGGCTTTATTGGGGAGAGGGGATCCGTCAGGACAGACAGCAGGGACGGAGAGAGAGCTCCCAGTTGCTGGGACGGGGGAGAGCAAGGTTACATGGTTGAGTGGAGAGAACACACCTGGGCAGGCCAGGCAGGCAGCTCAGCAGAGAGCAGAGGGCTGAGTACACAGTCTCTGGACTCCTTAGGTTTTAAGGGAGCCTCTTTACCCCCTCCCCCTCTCCCCCAGGATGAAGGATGGAGAGTCCTGGTGGAAGGGTTTGTTGGGTGAAAATTAGCAAATCCCTCCCCAGATTTGCTGGCTACAGGCAGAGTAGAGGGCCTTCCCATAGGGCATCTGAGAAGGTTCCATTGACCAGTGTTATCAGGTAACCCGTTTGGTCCTGAGGGGGCAGAATTCTCCTGGGAGCTCTCCTTGGGGGAAGGGCTGGACCACCTGGGAGGTTGTCAGGGTCTGGGCAGGACTCTGAAGTGCAAGATGCTGGGCTTCTGGGGCTCCCACAGCAGGTGCTGGTTTCTTTAGCCCCTCCCTCTCTCACACACACATACAGGCTAATTTTTAACTTCCTACCTAACAAATTCACTCAGCCCTCTTAAAGAAGTCAGGAAATTCCCAGGAAGAGAGAACTGATTTGAACGGAGGGAACTAGAAGGCCCAGAACAGAGGAGGACTGTGCTGCCTGGGCGGCGGGGGAGGGGCAGTGAGGAGAACTTGCGCCACTGCCCCCTCCCCCATTCTTTGTGACCAGGAACCCGTAGCTCTGTGATGCTGGTCTGGGTTCTAGTTCCCTGGGGAGCTGCTAGGGCTCAGTTACCCGAGGGTGACTGAGCCATTCAGATGATGGAGAGTCATCTCCTTCCTCTGAGCCCCAGCTGTGCTTCCTGTGTGGTGGACGTCATTCTCCCCGTCCTGTGTGGGGTGGGGCTCTTCCTCCTGATCCTCCCCTGGCTGCAGAGTAAGCCAGCCCCAGCGCCGCCCAGGACCAAGGGGATCCTCAGGAAGGTACGGCACCCCCGGCCATACCCGATTCCTCCTGCTTCTTCAACTCCTAATTCCACCTGTCTAAATCACTGAGCGAGACTCCCGAGATGGGGAAGTGCAGGAAATACAGAATATTATCTGCCTAGGGGCTGGTGGGACAGGATGGGGGTGAGAACGGGCACTAAGATTTCTAACCAAAGCTTTCAGCCACCGGTGTGGGAGCACCGGAGGGCACCGGGGCAAAATCAGTTAACTCAGAGCCAGGGACTGGATTACTCAGAGTAAGGAAACTGGGGTGGTGTGGAGTGGGGTGGGGTGGGGGGCCAGACAGAGCAGTTCCCTGAAGCATATGTCTTGAGGCCAAGGCACTGCTTTGAGCCAGGCTGACCTGAGGGTGGTAGTGAGAAGCCAGAGCCTCCATTCAGAACCTGGAGTCAGCCCTGGCCTCAGGCAGCAGGCTCCTCACCCTCTCCCCAGCCCTCACGGCTCAGCTGTGCCGTAGAACCAAGTCTCTGCTTCTCAGAGGAACAGTGCCCAAGGTACCCACTGGGCATCCACACAGAATACCCCTCTGTGCAAAGAAGAAAAACAGGAAATATTTTTCTAAGTTAAAAAAAATGAGTAAAGGGTAGAACACAGCGCCTTCTGTGCTAAGTGGAGCAAGTCCTGGTGTCCATGAGCACCGTCAGCTGTGTGTCTAGAGAGAGGAGACAGAGCCGGGCCCCAGTCCCTCTTTCTGCCTTGTCTCTCAGCCTCAAGCGCAGACAACAAGAAGAAGGATCAAATGCAGGAAGAGCAGAGCTCTGAAAGGTAAGGCTCTGCCCTTTCACCGGGAGCCTCAGGGGAGGCTCCTGGGAAGGAAATCAGCACCAGGAATCCTCAGGTTCCTGCTGGTAAAGGAATCCATGGCCAAGCAGAGAATTGGCATTTGTCCAGCAGAGGGCGCTGTGAGCTGCAGTGGAGCAACACTGCCAGTTGGAGTCTGGCAGTGGACAGGTGCATGGCTCCCATAAGGCCGGTTCCTCTTTGAGATGAGCCCCTCTTTCCCCCCTCCTGCCCCAGTGCAGTGGTGGGGATCCCAGGGAGTGACAGATGTGGAAGCACTTTGTAAATGCTAGAGCACTGCCCCGCCCCCTTCTTCATGCACTGTGTCGGCACTGCCCGGGGTCCTGGGGGTTGGACACTGATGCTTGGGCTCCAGAGTCTGATCTCCCAGGGTCCCCTTATAAAAGGACATTCCACTCAGCCTCCTGCAAGAACCCCAGACCCCTCCCTTCTGCACCCTAACCCAGTCTCCTGATTTCCAGCCTGCAGACATTGCCTGGAGAAACCCAAGGAGGTTCCAGGCCTCATCTCTCTTCTGCAAAGGTGAGGAACTTTCTGCTTCTCTCCTCCTTCCTGTCAAGGCCAGACATGACCCAAGGGCCTGGAGCTGACCCAGGATGGGAAGACCACAAGCTAGAAATGGAATATGACTGGCCGGCACCATGGCTCACTAGGCTAATCCTCCACCTGCGGCGCCGGCACACCGGGTTCTAGTCCTGGTCGGGGCGCCAGATTCTATCCCGGTTGCTCCTCTTCCAGGCCAGCTCTCTACTATGGCCCAGGAGTGCAGTGGAGGATGGCCCAAGTGCTTGGGCCCTGCACCCACTTGGGAAACCAGGAGAAGCACCTGGCGCCTGGCTTCGGATCAGCACGGCGCACCGGCCGCAGCGGCCATTGGGGGGTGAACCAATGGCAAAGGAAGACCTTTCTCTCTGTCTCTCTCTCTCTCACTGTCCACTCTGCCTGTCAAAAAAAATTTTTTTAAAAAAGAAATGGAAGGCCGGCGCCACGGCTCACTAGGCTAATCCTCCGCCTAGCGGCGCCGGCACACCGGGTTCTAGTCCCGGTCGGGGCGCCGGATTCTGTCCCGGTTGCCCCTCTTCCAGGCCAGCTCTCTGCTGTGGCCAGGGAGTGCAGTGGAGGATGGCCCAGGTGCTTGGGCCCTGCACCCCATGGGAGACCAGGAAAAGCACCTGGCTCCTGGCTCCTGGCTCCTGCCATCGGATCAGCGCGGTGTGCCGGCCGCAGCGCGCTGGCCGCGGCGGCCATTGGAGGGTGAACCAACGGCAAAGGAAGACCTTTCTCTCTGTCTCTCTCTCTCACTGTCCACTCTGCCTGTCAAAAAAAAATTTTTTTTAAAAAGAAATGGAATATGACTAAAGCTTTGGGGTGAAGGGCGGGGGTAGTAAGAGCTCTGTGAAGTTGGGGCGGGGGGCAGTGAGGTGCCCTGAGCTGCAGGCGCCCACCCTGTCTAGCCTGTGCGGGTGGGTTTCTGGTCCTATGTGCTCCCCTGCTTTAGCCTGTACCTCCTGTCTCCCACAGCCACCTGGGGAAGCTCTCTGACAAGGGCAGTTGTCCTCAGCTCCCATGTGACGACCCCCCTGGTAAGAAGTCCAAACCAGCACCTTGTCCAGCCCAGTGGCCTCGTGGGGAGTGTGAAGATGCTGCTGCTGCCACCTTGTCCCCATCGGCTTCCTTGGACCCCCCAGCTGAGGCCCCTCTGCCCCTGGCTTGTACCCCGTCCCCAGGCCCAATAACCTCCCGAGTTTCTCTTGGTTCTGAATCGAGTGCCCCTTGCTCACTGGAGCCATTGCTCCCCCTGGAACACCTTTCACTCCAGGCACCTGGGCTTCCTGCTCCCTCCCCAGGTCCTGCTGATCTGCTGGCCTGTCCTCACCATCCCACAGACCTCAGCCTGGCTCTCCCTCACTGTAGTTCAAAGATTCTCCCACTGGGCTCCATCCCACAGAGCCCGTCTCCGCCCAACTGTTGGCTGACTTCTGCCAACGCAGGGATCTCAAACCTTGGTCACCCTAGCTGCCCCGTCTCTGCCCTTTCCTGGTGGAAGGTGGCGGCCAGAGCCTGGTGCCTCTCCACCTCGCCACACTGCAGGACCCAGGAAGAGGGTCTTTCCCACCACCCGCCAGTGGCCACCTTCTGCAAAGACCTCACCCCCAGGCAGCCCAAGGCTGGAGGTCCCCGTTTGATCAACCCCAATGTCCAGAAGCTGCTGGAGATACTCGTCTCCAAGAGAGCAGATGTGAACGTGTGGCAGGGGGAAGCCGACAGGGAAGGATCAGGCCACCTCCTGGACTCCCTGGGGCTGAGGTTCAGGTCATCAGGTGAGCAGCCGGAAATCGCCATCCTTCCTCCCTTCTGGGGCACGAAACAGCGAGCGGAGCAGCTGCCTGGGCCTCCGCAGCTTCCTCATCCCAAGGGCCAGGAGGACTGTTTTCAGCAGAAATGGAGCCAGCTCTTCTGGGGCCTCCCTATTCTGCACAGCGAATCCCTGGTGGCCACTGTCAGCGTCTCTGGTCCCCCTGCGGAGCTCGCCTCTATCTTATTCAATGGCCTCAATAATTCCTTTCCCTTACAAATTCAGGCTAAAACACCGCCACAGCTGTTTCCCTCCCAGCTCGTGCTGCACCACATGACCCCAACCCCAAGTGTGACTCCACACTTGCCCTGGTCCCAGCCCCCATCTCTAGCTCAGATCCAGCCCCAGCCTCTCAGCTCATCCTCTCTCCAAATCCCATCAAGCTATTCTTGCGATCAGATCTGTGAGCCATCTTTCCCTACAAGGAGAGAGGTCCAATTTGTTATCCCCACTGCTATTCAACACCTGGAAAATCACCTTTTGAAGAAGCAACGGCAAAGTAGGAGGGCCTTACCCCAGCTGGTCAAACAATCCCACGAGATCTTTAGCCAGTGCATGCCCAACAGCTGGGCCTCCCAGGACCACAGGCCGGGTCTCAACCTCCCAGCGGATTTTATCAACCCTGAGCTCCGGCAACAACTTGAGCAACACCTTCAAACGAGGTTCACACAACACCTGTACAGACTTCCCCACAGGATCCAACTGTCTCTGGACCCGATGCAGTCACGGGACACATTTCCTGGGACGAGTCAGGCAAAGGACAAGCTGGGGTCCTCCTGGCCCTCTGTGTTTGCGCTTGAAAGCAACCAGAGTATACAGACAGTAGAGTCCAGGAGCCCTGCAAGGTTCCAGCTAGGGGAGGACTCAAGCAAGGATCTGGGGCGTTGCCTGGGCAGGGTCCCGGAAGATCCACCCAGGGGTTCCAGGAGCTCCCTAGCAAAGATTCAAGGGGTGAGCTATGACGTGCAGCCGGAAAGAGACTCGATGGGCTCCTCGCAAAGTGACTCAGAGAGCGTTTCACTAGGGAGCCTGCACGAATATCTAGACGACGTCCTGAGAGTCCATTTGGGCAGGAAGTTGGAGGGAATCAAGGCGAGCAGGGGCCGTGGGGGTGCCGTGCCTAACTACAGACTGGGCTCCTACCACGCCTCCGCCCCTCCTGAAGCGTCAGACGCTTACGCGGAAACCGGAAACCCAGCATCCTCGAAGCATTGGGAGTCCTGTGAGATCACCTCCCAGATGTTCCTCAACCCAGGCACTCAGGAGGTACTAGAAGCACATGTCAAAAGGCTGCAGGTGAGACACAGGTGGGCCCTCCCCCTCAAGGCTCTCAAGCCCATCAATCACTTTAAGTTGCAGAAGGCTCAGGCCCCGCCCCTTCCCTGGCCCACCGTACCCTCCTCAGCCACCTGCGGTTCCGAGGCCAACTTCCTGGGAGGACCTCATCAGAAAGGCTCGGAAGGGACAGTGATGACAAGAGAGCCAGTGCTCACCCTGAAGCGAGCTCTCCCCGTCCCCTGGCCTGCATATAAGAAAGCCCAGGCAGCCCTGGGGGTGACTCCATCCTGGAACATCTGTGCCCCCGCCAAGGTCCCTGGGGCTGCAGAGGCAGTCAGTCTGCATTCCCAACCTCTCACTTCCAGCTCCACTGGCAGAACCTGGCACGGTGAAACCGCCCTGGAGGCTGGGCAAGGTAGCCCAGAACAGAGACAAAGTTCAGCAGAGGCCAGAAATGAGGCCCCAGAAGAGAGCGGGGACCTGGCCTCCCCAGGCCCCTGCAGCAGCCCATGGATGCTGGGGTTCAATGGAGCAGCTCAATGCCCGTGGGCTGGAGAGGTCAGCGAGGCAGTGAAGTTAGGGGAGCTCAAGTCCTCCACTTGGGAAGCCAGTGTGGCAGCAAACTCCCAAACCCGGTGTGGGAGTCTGAGTGTAGACTCTCTGGGAACCAGTAGAAGCCCCTCACCCTCCAGTATTTCTATCGGACACAGGGAAGGAGAGCCGGACCTGGAGGCACAGGCTGTTGATGAGAAGGCTCTCCCAGCAGAGGCAGAGCTGGAGAGCGAGTCTCCGGCGGCAGCAGGCCTCCTCCTTCAAGACCTGGCCCCCGAGATGATCCTCGCCGCAGACATCTTGGCGTTTCAGGCCTCTCGGGCTCGATCCGGGAGTGTGTCCAGTAGCAGCACCTCCGCTTCGCGGGGGCTAAGTGACCTGCTGTGGAGGGCTGAGAGCAGCTGGGAGCAGCAGGGGCCGAGGTTCCCGTGGGAGACAGAGAGCAAGGTGTTCAGTCCCACCGACAAGCGGGAGGTGTGCAGGAGGCGCAGACTCGGGGAGCAGGAAGAAAGGCTGGCAGGACAAAGGGCCCCCCAGGCCCCTGGGACGTGCCACCCCACCCAAGACACGGAATCAGTAGAGTCTCTGAGAATCAAGACCTTGCTGCCCCTGCCCAACCAAACACCGCTGCCTCCAGTGAGCCGTCTGGGAGACAGGGTCAGGAACTTCCTGCAGCGGCTTTTCCCCAACAGGAGCAAAAGGCAGGAAGATGTCTGGCAAAGAGCCACGCCCATCTTAGCCTCTGCGCCGAGCACATCAGCCATAAGCAGAATGTCTATGAGCGTTAAGGAGCCCCCTGAGGCTCAGGCACCCATGGGCACCGCCACACAGACCCCAGAGGAGAAATTGGGGTTTCACCACGAACTTTCAGCCACGCAGGAAAAGTCATACAAAGAGGAATCCCAGGGCCCGCTGGGTGAGTGGCCCTGCCACCACAGGGATCCCTTACACCGGGGGCCCAGGGCAAGGATGATCACCAAACTACCAGCACAGGCTGCGACGGGCCACCGCTGTCCCATCAAGAGCAGATGGGTCCGAGACATACTCTGCCAGCACCAGCTACGGGAGGCAGGTGCGCCCGGCCATCCCGTCCACTGCCCCAGGCACTGTCTTCTTTGGAGAGGCATCTTGTCTGGCCATGCCCATCACGCCTCTCATATCTGTCCTCCTCGGCAAACCTTTCTTTTGCCCTTGCAGAGAAAACCTGTCTTGCCCACTATGTGCTCATGACTCCCTCCTCTCAAGGTACCTGTTGCTTCCTAATATACATTGTTTTCTCACCACACGTGGTGGCTTCTGTCTGTGCTGTGTAGGCCTGCAGGGGAGGGGTTGGTGTTTCCGCTTCCTGAGTGTGGGGTCTGGAAGGGATGGGACGTGGAAGGCTGAGAAGGCGGATGGTGGCGTTGCAGACTCACCCTGGCCCTACCTGCCTGTCCCCCAGCCCTGAGATTTTGTGCAACCATAGGGAGGGTTGACAGGACCATCGTGGGGCCATGTATGTGGCTTCACCGAGTGGGCACAGGATGTTTGCTTTGATGGTAGGGAGTTGTGGGGGGTGGGGTGCGGATAGGGGCTGCAGCGTACTGGCTCTGAGGTAGGAGAAATCTTGCTCTCCTGGTCTCCTGGGCAACCAAGAGCCCTGTGTCTCCCTGCGGAGGGCTGGGCTGGAGATGAACCCTGCTGCCCACACCTGCCATGACCCCCACATGTGGGACCAGCTGGGCCCTGGGTGGAGGGAGAGTGGGCACAGGACCCACAGGCGTCTCCTGAGACAAGTCCTGTCTGGGCCCCACAACTACGGCAGCCTCCCAGACAGGCCCAGCATTGAGGGAGGAGCTGGGATGCGGGGCAGGGCCAGCCGGTCCTTCCAGGGGGCGGGGCACAGGTTGGGGCCCTGAGCCTAGTGGCCACCAGGTCTTCTGAACACCCAGAGAGGCAGGTGTGGGGAGGCGGTAGGGGCTGGATGAGAACCCCACGCCTCCTTCAGGAAAAGTGCCACAGACTATGACAGTGAGGCAAGACCAGCAAGAAACGGATGGGGATGGGGACAGGGAGTCCCTCCTCCCTGACATACCATAAGGCCAGGGAGGGTGAGACCCCTCCCCCAGATGGCCCTGACACAGAATCCCTCGAAGCCATGTGACAGAGACATCTCCCAGTCAGGGAGGACACACAGACATGCAGAGAGCACCAAGGGAGACCTGATACGCAGACCACCTGTAGCACGAATCTCAGCCAGAGACGCCAGACACCAAGACTCATCAAAAGAAAACTTTTCTTCTTCTTACAGGCTGTCCTAGGGGATTTGCACCCAGCGTCTGGGCCCTGAACAAAGCAGGGCATTGTATTAGAGACCCTGGCACACACAACTGTAAGTTTTCTATTCAGTTGCACGGTTTCTGCTTGGACGTCTTAGAGCTACGGTACCACCTCCACAGCGTCACACCAAGAGGCACCTGTGCACACCTGAGCCCCGGAAGCTGACTCGGCCACCGTGTTTCAGTTGACCTAAATCCACAGACCATTGTGGGATTGCTTAGAAAGTTCCCTCGTCCCCAGAGAGCCCCGGCTAGCCTCCACCCGCTCTGCCTCTGGCTGGTTTTTATTCCTAAGAGGTTCTTATTCCCATCCTCTCCCCCACCCCCTACCACCAAAGCAAACATCTTGTGCCCACTTGGTGTCGTGTGAAGCCACATACACGGCCCCACGATGGTCCCTGCCACACTCCCACAAAGAACTAGCAAAACAAGGAAACCTCGGGTCTTTCACGGGGAGCCCTCCCCCAGCGATCCCCCGTGGCCCCCAGGGCTCCCTCCTGAAGCAGCAGTCCCTCTCACAGCCCTCACAGGCTCCCATAGAGACCACCCCCTCCCACCAGAGACCCTCTGGATGCCACAGGGACCTCCACAGAGGCTGCAGGCAGTCACCATGCGATGGCACAGAGACTTTCCCGGGGGATCGGAAGCTACACAGCAGATCCATGGCTCAGGAGGAATGACGTCAGCTGTCCCCCCAGTCCAGGGACAGACACCTGTCAACAGTGGCCCCCAAGTGGGCTCCTCTGCTTGGCGCCATGCTCAGCAATTTTCGTGCTTAGGTAATGACAGTGTCGCTGAATACTGGGGAGTGACAAGGTCCGTGGGTGACCTGCAAAATTCTCACCCTTGCAGGCTGTCAGCAACTTCAGCTCTGATCCGCACTTTGGAGAGTGACGAATGTTAAACAGAAGTAACATGCTGCTATTTGTCCAGTGTGATGCCTGTCTAGTCAAATGGTATCAATGGCTCCTCTTTTTGTTTTTAAATTTCTTTGGGAACAACAGCTGAATTGGAGGTGGGTGGTTCCTTTACTCTGGAAACTTGGCAAAGACTTGCAGGAAAGTGACTCCATAAAAGAAATAAAGTGGCGCCGGCGCCACGGCTCACTAGGCTAATCCTCCCCCTTGCGGCGCCGGCACACCGGGTTCTAGTCCCGGTCGGGGCGCCGGATTCTGTCCCGGTTGCCCCTCTTCCAGGCCAGCTCTCTGCTGTGGCCCGGGAGTGCAGTGGAGGATGGCTCAAGTGCTTGGGCCCTGCACCCCATGGGAGACCAGGATAAGTACCTGGCTCCTGGCTTCGGATCAGCGCGGTGCGCCGGCTGCAGCGCGCCAGCCGCGGCGGCCACTGGGGGGTGAACCAACGGCAAAAGGAAGACTCTCTCTGTCTCTCTCTCTCACTGTCCACTCTGCCTGTCAAAAAAAAAAAAAAAAAAAAAAAAAAAAAAAAGAAAGAAAGAAAGCAGCAAAGAGGCATTTGGCACATGTATTTCCAGGATCTGAGAAAGCCTTAATATTCAGCTAAACAAAACTACTTAGGATGATGTAACTTTTAGAATATATCTAAGAAATACACACTTTCCAAGACTCAGCAGTGGGGGTCTGTTTTGTATCCATTATAGAGCTTTGAAAGGACATATTGCTTCAACTAGTTTAGAATCGTAAATTATATCACTTAATCCATCCTTCAGATACTACACCGAGAAATAAAACTACTGGAAAAGGACAGCCTGGTATTTGACTTGAAGAAGCTGCACAAAAAGAAAAAAAAAATAAGAAAAAATGCACATTGAGAGAAATTTGTATCAGAAGAAGGAAAGGCCTCATTTACTATATACAGCGCTGTGCAAGCATTCATGTGGGGGATTACCTATTTCAATTACACCTAAGCAAGCCATGTGCACCACTGATTAAGTCTCAGCTTATCCCTAGGGTGACAGCATCACAGGCCTTGCTGTCTGTAAAAGGAGCAAAGCTGTTGCGACTGCTTTAATGCCCCTTGTCTCCACAGGCAGTTCCCTTCTCTTATTACAAATGTAAACCTGTTCCTTGTCTGTGTTACTCCCTTCTAATGTCAGTGAGTCACAATAGAATATGGTCTTAGATGTCGTTTACTGTACTCTATTTGGGTTTTCACAGGGCACGTGCATTTAATCAGAATAAAATGTTTCATACAGAAAACACCCTACAGGGATGGCACTGTGGCATAGTGGATGAAGCCATAGCTCATAGTGCTGGCATCCCATATAGGTGACGGTTTGAGTCCTGGCTGCTCCACTTCCGATCCAGCTCTCTGCTATGGCCTGGGAAAGCAGTAGAAGATGGCCCAAGTCCTTGGGCCCCTGCAACCACGTGGGAGACCTGGAGGAAGCTCCTGGCTCCTGGCTTTGGATCAGTGCAGCTCCAGCCGTTACAGCCAACTGGGGAGTGAACCAACGGATGGAGGACCTCTCTCTCTCTCTGACTTAAAAAAAAAAAAAAAAAAAAAAAAAAAAAAAAACTACAAAAAACAGTATTTCCTTTCCAAACTTCCATTTTTTCAACATTGTTAAATTAGGTGATATTGCTCTAGTCCATTGAATTCAAGTTATTCAGGCTAGCCACAAAGTCTAAAAAGAGATAAACATTGTAACAGACATTTTACTGCTAGGACATATTGAATGAGTTGTCCCTCAGTAACATTCACGGTTCAATAATCTGTACAAAATTGCAGTGGGCCGTGTGCACTGAAGTGGTTTCCATCAGTCACTGCACGTGCATTTGTTATGCTATGGGGGATTTCTTTGTCCAATTTCCACAGCATAAACTTGTGCCTTTACCCCAGGAGAAAACCAGGGGGGGTGCAATCTACTACAAAAATCTCATCAGTGTCTCCAGGCTTTGTGGTTATCTGTATTTTATTTTTAATAAAAATTCACCCATAGTAAATATTATAAACATTTTGACTATATATATATATAAATATATATATAAAGAAGAAACGGATATAAAATTAGATAATGGAAAAAATAGCAATAAAACCATATCTTTTGTTTTCAACATTTTTTTCATTTCCAAATATTGTGCTGTAAATGAAGGGAGTTGTTAACCTTCAGATAAAAGACTCTCTAAATTACTTTTAGGATCTATTAAAAATTTGTTGGTGAAATATATTTTTATATAAAATAAGCCTCACAAGCCCTGTGCAGTGGCACAGTGTGGTAAGCTGCCAGCTGCCACATCAGCATCCCATATGGGCACCCATTCAAGTCCTGGCTGCTCCACTTCCGATCCAGCTCCCTGCTAATGGCCTGTGAAAAGCAGCAGAAGACGGCCCAAGTGCTTGGGCCCCTGCACTGATGTGGGAGACCTGGAAGAAGCTCCTGGCTCCTGGCTTCAGCCTGGCCCAGCTCTAACTGTTGCAACCATTTTAGAAGAAAGCCAATGGATAGACAATCACTCTCTCTGTCTCCCTCTCTCTCTCTCTGTAATTCTGACTTTGAAATAAATAAATAAATCTTTCTTTTAAAAAAAGATAAGTTTATTTTTAAAAAGCAGGCCTCACGCTGATTTCAATAAATCAAGTTGGGGGCCGGCACTGTGGCTAATAGGTAAAGCCGCTGCCTATAGTGCCAACATCCCATATGGGTGCCAGTTTGAGTCCCGGCTGCTCTGCTTCCAGTCCAGCTCTCTGCTACAGCCTGGGAAAGCAGTAGAAAATGACCCAAGTCCTTGGGCCCCTGTACCCATGTGGGAGACCCAGAAGAAGCTCCCAGCTCCTGGCTTCAGATCAGCTCAGCTCCAGCCATTGCGGCCATCTGGGGAGTGACCCAGTGGATAGAAGACCTCTCTCTGCCTATCTCTCTCTCTGTGTAACTCTGACGTTCAAATAAATAAATAAATCAGGCTCAACAGAACAAAACAACATGTGCAGTCTGTCAATATGTGATGATTTCTTTTTGCATTATTATTTCTGTAAGATCGCCCCTTTTTTTAAAATGTATTTAAAGGGCACAGTTACAGAGGGAGAGAGAGAGAAGGATCTTCCATCTGGTGGTTCACTCCTCAAATAGTTGCAATGGTCAGGGCTGGGCCAGGCCAAAGCCAGGAGCCAGGAGCTTCATCTGGGCACCCAAACACTTGGATCATCTCCTGCTTCTTTTCCCAGGCCATTAGCAGGGAGCTGGATCAGAACTGGAGCAGCTGAGACTTGAACAAATGGCCA